ATATACATATGGTATTAATTTTACATACATAATATGACATTGAGCATAGTTTCATTCCAAATATAAATGGCTTATTCACCATTTTATTGCAATATCCCAATAATGTAACATGACAAAATATAACCTTCTGGTAAGTTTTTTTTATAAATCGCTACAAAAGTGAAACAATTTTTGCAGGTGTCATACACAATCAAATATCTCAAAAATGAAGGCCATAACAATATGTCATCACTTGTTGGTGACATAATAAAACTGAGCAATGTAAAACCTCTATAGAAAACAAGTATTAAATAATTCTTAAAATCCCTTAAATTATTCCACGATATACAACAAATATGTACATGATAATATAAATAAAACATATCCTTTCACAATATGTTTCACATTTGTACAAATATTTAATGTGTAGAAGGATATGTGGAATTTCAATGTCAGTTCTAATATATAAGAATAAATAAATTATCACAATCAGAAATAGATATTTACAGTTCTCTGTCAAGTTTGCAAAATGATGTTAAACATCACCTTCAATACTAGTATTAATAAATATGGTTTAAAGACTTTTGATAGATGGCATAAACTTAGCTGGTTGACTTATATATATTATTAAGTTCACATATCAATATTGCTTCAAAAATCTTTTATCGATATTTCGATACCAAACATCAATAAAATTCCGACATTTTGAAAGGTAATATGGTTGAAAAACATTAAGATTGGTTTAATTCATATATTATCTTTCAAGTTTAAATACAGCAATATTAAGACACAGCATTTTAAAAGTTAATTCCGATGATAACCATTAAAATTTGGAGAGCAAACACAGCTAATGATCTGCCATCTACAAGTCCTCGTTCACACTGAATGGGCAGTTTTGGGATATATTACATACATTTGCATCTTATATTTGAGGAATATTACATATATCTCACCTTTGGGGATATATTAAATATATCTTACCTTTGGGGATGTATTACATATATCCTACCTTTGGTGATATATTACATATATCTTACCTTTTTGGATATATTACATACATCTTACCTTTGGGGATATATTACATATATCTAACATTTAACTGGCTAAACCACTGAGCATACTTACAAAGTTACATTGCATTCATTATTTAGCAACCATTTTATATACACTAAATACAAATATTAAATATGACATCTTTAGATATATACAGTTCATAACTTGTATACAATAATACCTTATATAGATACTGTATATACAGTTCATAACTTGTATACAATAATACCTTATGTAGCATTGAGCATATTCTTAAATTAATATAATACAATTCTTTTCTATGGACTTGTACACTTATGTCCATGATATAAATACTAATTATGCTTCTTTCATGAATTACTTTTAAAGTACAGAACATATCAATACTCAATCTACATGTTCCATATGAATGTTAGAGAAACACAACACTACTTGCCAACATTTAGATTGATGCCGTTGCCTTCTGCAAAATATGTAAGCAAAATTGCCAAAGGAAAAGGACAAAAAAGGAAAGGACATGTCAATACTCAGTCTTCATGATCCATATGCATGTTTGAGAAATACAACACTGCTTGCCAATCTTTACACTAATGTGGTTACCTTCTTCATAATATGTATGCAATATCGCTAAAGTGAAAGGACCAAAAAGGACAGAACACCACAAGAAAAAGAAAACGCCGAAGAGTCGGCGAAGAGTACACCAGTCATAAGGAAAACAAACCCGAACACATAATAATCAGAGACACACTGGGTAAAGAACCAATAAAATCCTAGCAAAAACAGCACATCATTGATCAACAAATACAACCTTGGTGTCAATCCAAGATTCAAATTTGACTACAATACCTCGAAGTATTAACATTGGTGTCAATCCAAGACTGCCAGATTCAAATTTGACTACAATACGTCAAAGCATTAACATTGGTGTCAATCCAAGACTGCCAGATTCATTTACTACACTACTTCAAGCATTAACATTGGTGTCAATCCAAGACTGCCAGATTCAAATTTGACTACAATACGTCAAAGCATTAACATTGGTGTCAATCCAAGACTGCCAGATTCAAATTTGACTACAATACGTCAAAGCATTAACATTGGTGTCAATCCAAGACTGCCAGATTCATTTACTACACTACTTCAAGCATTAACATTGGTGTGAATTCAAGACTGCCAGATTCAAATTTGACTACAATACCTCAAAGCATTAACATTGGTGTCAATTCAAGACTGCAAGATTCAAATCTGACTACAATATCTTGAAGCATTAACATTGGTGTCAATTCAAGACTGCCAGATTCAAATCTGACTACAACACCTCGAAGCATTAACATATTTTCAATCTGTCTCTGATCAACCATTAGAAAATACAATTAAACAAACAGAGGAGTGACAATGCTGATTTCCTACTACATGTATTATAATCAGCTGATTATAATCTAAGTGTTTATGAGACATCTACCCTCACTACTTATCAGGATATGGTGTGAATGGGACACACACCAAGTCACTCCACAAACCTGGTGGGACATGGAATAAAAGAATAAACAGATTTTATCCCTGCTGTCTCAACACTGAGTTACACCATGCCGCTGGTGTGAAAATTAAATATACATGTAATCTCTTCAATCTCTACAAGCCAAAATCCACACCAAGTCACACTGAAATGTTGGTTTTACTTGGGTCCAATTTCCAAAAGTGTTACACTGATGTCAAAGTGTTACAATCACCTGTCACATGATTTCAGTTAATATATGAAGATTCACATTTTCCATTGTTGAAATATAAGAGTGAAAATGTAGAAATATTATAAAATCTACAGGTAATTTCCCCGTTAATTTCCAATACACGACTTCCGAAAGAGGGTGAAAAGTTTAGAATTATGTAAATCTAATTTCCTGACTGATCCGAATACACGACTTCCGAAAGAGGGTGAAAAGTTTAGAATTATGTAAATCTAATTTCCTTACCAATCCAAATACACGACTTCCGAAAGAGAGTGAAAAGTTTAGAATTATGTAAATCTAATTTCCTGACCAATCCCAATACACGACTTCCGAAAGAGGGTGAAAAGTTTAGAATTATGTAAATCTAATTTCCTGACCGATCCCAATACACGACTTCCGAAAGAGGGTGAAAAGTTTAGAATTATGTAAATCTAATTTCCAACACACAACTTCAACAAGTTTATATCTTGCGGCACTGAGCAATACGTCAACAGACTATTGAAAAGCATAATTTCCACTCTCAGGTTTACATTATCTAACTTGTTTTTCAACTTCAGATTGTAAATGGTCACGTCACCCCATCCTCCTAAGCAGGTATCCAGAATCTGTACCTCCTTCTTCCCCCTGCTATAACCAATTTGGATGTGCCCGATTTAACTGAATCACATGATCTAATTATGCGCAATGACTTATACATGATTTCTGTCGCAGTGTTGCAACAGCCAATCAGATTGCGAGTTCTTTATCGGGGAAATGGTAACTGATTATCGCAGGGGGTAAAAAGAAAGAATATGTTCTGGATTTTGAAGCCCTGTGATCGGAGGATGCTTCACCCTGATGTGTTTTGTTGAGAATTGATGATGAGAAGCTGAATACCCTTGTACCAAGGAATGCTTGACCCTACCCCATCAATTAAAGATGCCTTTATGTTATACTCAAAGAATCTGAGAACTTTAAATAATATCACAGATATTACAAAAATCATTGATAGACACATTGTACTGACCTGACCTCTATTACACAAATATATAAGTTGATCCTATTTTAAGGAAAAATTACAGTGAAACTATCTGTTTTATGTTGGCATCATTATACAAAGACTTGCATATGTATGCGTATACAATTCACACAGATTGTTAATACACGACAGCAAGGCCAAGGCGATATCTTGATATACGAGGGGTGATTCAAAAGTAATGGACAAAATTTCTTTTGAATCACCCCTCGTACACCTGTACATGTATGCTATAAACATATGTAAAGTTAAAGTAAATCATTGTTTCATCGTGCATATCAAGTGTCTATTGTACATCAGATGGAGACGTGCTGAACATTACAGACATAAATTATCATTCTCTGCCACTCCTAATGACGTCAATCTATGTAACCCACACATCAGGAACATGTTTGTATACGGCAGAAAGGTTCTTGTTCATTGCAAATCTTTTGACTGAGAATTTGTAATTATATTATTAAAGACTACACAATCTAATAAACCCAAAGTCAGAATCCTAATTTAAGTTGTACATGAAATGCTAAAATTTTCAGGAAGCAGCAATTCTAAAGCAGATATCATATTAGCATCTCATCTGTGTTTTCTTTCTATAACAAGTTTTTCCTTTCCATTCTAGTTTTTCTACCAAAAAGGAAGGTTGAGTCCTTAAATTCCATAACTGGTTGAAAATGTTTTCACCCTTCATTTCCAAAATAATATACGTACAATACATGTTATTTAGCAGTATTCTGAGGCATTTCCATAATAATATACATACAATACATGTCAGTTAGCAGCATTCTGAGCAGTGTTTTTCCCATGCAGCCATCTGAAACAAATAAACAAGGCATGAGACTACAGTACTTGTAAAACTGCTATATTTTGCTGACTATCTACCCCATGGATAATTAAGAAGACCATTTATTATATTATCTGTAAAAGGAAGCCTTCTGATTGGTCAGTTCCTGTGCTTTACCAATCTGTATTGCTACTGAAATTGTCCCCATTGATGCACCTCTGTCGCAATAGAGAAAATATTGGTACGAATGAGACATTCTCAGTGGCAATATAGAGGATCACACGATCAGTGATGATTTGAGATGTACTCCACTCTCAAAATCCAGTTTAGATCCAAGTTTGAGATTTACATGTTTGATTTTCCTTATGACAGATTGTCTTCTACATGTAGCTGTTGCCTTTTCTCAGTGTTATATTTTATGTAATTAGCATTTGTAAAATAATATGAAGTATATAATAAATCTTAATACTTGACATTTGATGCTGCAGTACCACATTTTCTTGCACCCGCTACAGAGGAAGGTTGCCTCACGTCCACATATACTACACATCTTGCTCCCTGCCACAATGTCTGATTCGCTCATCAACACGAGATTTCCCTGTCAGGTCATAAAGAATATATGGAGATACAATATGATAAAGTACAAAAAGATAAGTAACCAGTTCCAAAGTTTGGATGACTAAATTACATGGTTGATAATGGTTTTGTCGACCTACTTTTTTAACCCTCAGGAATTTGCTAAAGAAAATGCTAATTTTTGAAGTGTATATGTATATAATGGCACAAGAGTTAAATACAAGTTGATAAAATTAAAATTACATTTTGCTGATTAACTAAACTGGTAATGTTTTGTTATCAATCTCATTTCAATTTATTTTCAAACAAGGAAACTATTTGGCAGCACCTTTATCAATATCACTAAAGCAATAAAGTACTGTACTTACATCTTTTGGAGTATACAATTTTTCTGCTGGAATTATCATTCTCTGGAGGTAAGCTGGTTCTTGCTTGTCATGACTTCTATGGTGATGACCTTCAGGATGACCTTGATTGGGCTGAGGATAACCTCTAGGGCTAGTCTGTTGTTTGTATAGCATTTGTTGATGTTCTTGGGGTTTCCCTGGAGAGAAGCCTTGCATAGGGGCAGTCTGCCAATGCTGGTTCATTTGTGGCAGTGTGGGGAGCATCTGTCTATAGGTCTCTTGCTGGCGCTGTTTATTCCCGCCTTGCGGCAAGATGAAGGCTTCGGGGATATCTTCTGTTGAATGTCTCTTGGCAATATCTCTATTGCCTTCATTTGGGAAGCTAGCTTGATTTTGTCTTAGAACCATCTGCTGATGAAGCTCCCTTCTTGTATCCAACACCTGTTGATTCATAGGCTCATGTATAATCTCACTGGACAGCATATTTCTAGGATTATTATGATGATATCCAGATGATAGATTCACCTGGGTAGGCTTTTTAGGAGATAGCATAGTCCTAGGCTGTTGCTGCATTTCCATGAGATGTGGACCCCTCATTATCTTCTCAGGAGTTGGTTGTCCATTAAGGTCATCATTATCCCTTCCATTTTGCATATGCTGAGGATATGGTCGTCCCCTAGACCTTGCAAGATTTTGTTGCTGTAAGTATCCTTGACCTTGATTCATGTGGTTCATTCTTCCAGGAGAGACATGCTGTGGCATACCAGTGGGGGAATGTTGTACAACAGTCTGTGAGCCAGGACTGTGCATGACACCCTGTGGCCCAGGACCATGCATAACCCCCTGTACCCCAGGACTATGCATAAGACCCTGTGGCCTTGGACCATGGATAAAACCATGTGGCCTTGATGCATGCATATTTCCCTGTGGCCCGGAACCATGCATTACACCATGGGGCCCTGGACCGTGAATCATACCAGGTGGCCCTGTACCATGCATTACAGTTGGAGAATCATTACTGGCCACTTCTTGGGATGAATGGATAACACCATCAGCAGTTGAAATAGTAGGACCAAAAGGACTCATGTGGCCATGTTGACTAGGTACTTGACTAAAATATGGATGAGTTCCTGGCTGTGCTTGGGATTTAGACCCTTGCGACATATGTATTACTGGCTGTGGACTTGGCATACTCTGTGGGCTAATCAACTCATTGGTGTAGAATCGGTGATGTTGACTGGGTATCATCTGACTGGATTTTTGTGATATTGGCACCATTTGAATCATGCCTTGGGGTGGTCTATTTACCTTTGTAGCATTCTCCATAGTTTGCATATGCTTCATATGTTGCATTTTCTGTTGTTCCATCAAATGTTGTTTTTTCTGTTCAATTACTTGCTGTTTATGGTGCTCTATCATCCTTTGCGCTTGTTGCTCAAACATTTGCTGCTGTTTATGCTGTTCCATCATATGTTGCTTTTGGTGTTCCATCATTTGCTGTTGCTTCTGCAGCTCTTTCCTTTTCTGGGCCTCTACTTTCTGTTTCTCTAGTATCTCAGCCTTTCTTCGCTTTGCTTCAGTTAACTCCATTGGAAAATATTTCTCATTCACACAGTTCTGGCTTTCAATAACATCTACAAACTTCCTCTTTAGATTAGGGTGACTCGGAGGCATGGCATACATCTGTACAGCTGATGGGTGTCCCTGCATAAGGGGCTGTCCACGAGGGGGACCAGGCATTCTCTGAGGGGACATGTTTATTACTTGTGACTGTAAAAACCTCGGACCCTTGTTATTAGCTATTGGAGCTCTCATTCTGAGACCCTCACCAGAGCTAGTCATCATGAAGTTTGGATCAGTATTGGATCTCATGTTCTTTTCAGACCGTGGAAGCATTACCAAATTTTCATCATGAGATCTTGGCCTAGGTCTTTGCATATCATTTGCTGGGTTAAACTGGATTTGTTGATGCTCCATAGAAGTAATATTCTGTGAAGAATTTCTCCTTTGTGCACATTTCTCTGAAGGCACTTTAATGTTTACCTTTGGACTAGGAACAACTGTTAAATCAATCATATCTGGTAACTTTTTTTTATTATGGACCTGCTCAGCAACATTTTCTATATTGGTGTCCACTGACCTTTTATTCTCATGTATTGGTACATGTTGCACATTGTATTGAGGTTCACTATTGGGCTTTGTTGGGTCAGTTGTCACTGAATTCACTTTGTCAACAGCAACTGAATAAGCTGCCCCAGAATTTGATGAGACTGAAGTGGACACTAAAGACACATTTGGAGTTGCTGAAGTCAGCTCAGGAGTCTTTCTTCCCACCTTTTGGAATGAGACATTTGATATAGTTGTTCCTGCCAAATCTGGTAGCACATAGGCAGATTGTCCACTTGTGTTTTGGTCGGGGGTAAGTGCAACTATATCTGGTTTTGAAGGTTGGACGTTTGCAACAGTCGCACTTGTGGGTGTACCATTAAAAGCTGAAACAGTTACAATGGTACTGTTCTGTGATATGGGCATATTTCCAGAAGATAGGATACATACAGATGTCATAGTTGGAGAAACAGTTGAACCTATGCCGGTTGAAGGAGCTGTTGAACAATCATTAATCTTTTCCAATGTTAATTTAACAGGACTACTTGTATGTTCATCCACAGCTACATTTTCACAATTCACAAGATCAACTGTCTCACTTTTCTCTGCTCTTGTTTCAGATCCCTCTGCTCCATTCTCTTTTCTTTCTATTGTGTAACTTTGGTCATTTTTTGCATTATGTGATCTTGTACCATTATCTGGTGACTCATTTATATGTTTATCTACTGTGTCATGACTGACATTTGCTTTGTTTTGTGTCATACTAATGTTATCCGAGGCACTACTGGCAGATGTGATAGAGGATTGAGCAAATGATGTGTTAAAAATAACCTGTGATGATGTCATTGAGGTTACCATGGTATCTAATTTGGCTTTTTCTGCCTGTAAGTAATCAGCAGTATATTTCTTTTTCGGATGTGTTGCAATCTTAGGACCTAGAGTTTCTGTGACAACAGTGTTATGAATCTTTTGAATAGAATGGGTGGAGATGGAATGAACATCTGGTGATTTTGCAACTACCAGTTCTGAGCTTTTTGGTTTAGGCCCTTCTTGGAAAGAATTTCTTATTGCATTTTCAATACACTTGTTTACCTCTGCGTGAAGATTAGTTTCAGCTGTGTTTTTAATCATTGACTCATTGTCAGAGTGTTCACGGCTTGTCAGTTTTGTGTTGTGAAGGGGTCCTTGAACACAGGTTGATACTTTGGTGTTACCATATTCTTCCTTTTTTTGACTAGAATTATTTGAAAGCATATACGGAGTTGAATGAGCAAGTGGAGGCCTATGATCAACATTTACCAAAGTGTTTGATTGGTGAGTGTTATTATGTGCAGGCGGGGGCACCTTGGCAGACTTCATGGAAGGTGTGTAGTTGTTATGTACAGCAGGACTGGTGCTTTTGTACAATGGAGATGTCGAAGCTCTACGTATTGGTGGACTTGTATTAAGGTATGTTGAAGGAGTTGTATTACCATATGAGGAAGGTCTGGGATTTGTATATGAAGAATGTTTGTTGTTGTGAACTGAACTTTGATTTGAATATTTAAACTCTGGGCTATGCATTCTTTTTGTATTTAAAACAGCCTTAGTCTGTGGCTGGTTCTTCTGATCCATTTCCACACCAATAAAAGGTTTTCTTCCAACAGTCTGTAATGGTTTGGGTAGCCCCATATGGTTTATATCCCTACTATTTCCAGGCCTAATGTTAGGGTCACTTCCAACATTCATGGAAGCAACAAAGGGTCTTATTGATGCATTATTTGTTTGCCTCTGGCTTTGTGGATCTACAGGATCATGTGGAACGTCCATTGTGATGTCATATGCCTGGCGTCGTAATGCCTCAATGGAGCCTAGCAACATTTTCATCTGGGTCTGCTTTTGTACCAATTCTTCTTTTTCTTTCTCTTTCTTGGCCGTCAACTCCTGAATGATCTGAATCTCTCTTTGATGTCTCTCATATTCAGATTCAAGAAATTCTAACCTGTTCATGGGCCTCAGTTGACTATTAGGAACACCATGTTGGACTGTGGGATCTGGAGAAGGTGATACCTGTTGATTTTGATTCATAGGTACATGGTACTTAGCAGCAGGGTGTGTTGCACTGGTAGGTCTTTCTTGTACAGCCACTGTAGGTGTATGAAAGGCACTGTATTCATGCCTTGATGTCTGTGGTGTCATGGTTGGCCTTGGTGGAACCTCAAAAGGATTGATACACGATTCATCCTTTTGTCGTGGAACATCAGGAAGGTTTCCCATAAGGGGGTGATATGGTGGAGGAGGAGACCTGATTGAATCAGGGGAGGGAGCAACTTTAGACCAGTTCTTGGGATCACCAGGGAGTCTACTAAACCGAGCCTGTGGTCGAAACGGCATCTGGTACTGTACAGATGACCCTGCAGGAAAAGCTATACTGTTTTCAATTTCAGGTTGCTTCAAATATTCTCTTTGATTGTGAATGTTGTGAAAACTCTGACCCTTCACTGAACCTAGATTATCTTGAATGGGGATGAGGTGAGGGATGGGAGGGGGAGGTTGAGTGCCATCAGGGTGGGTCCTCACAGGCTTTATAGGGGCCCCTGGGGAGAAACATTTCTCTTGGGCCTTTAAGTGATGTAGGGTATCATTTGTATATTGAGAGAGATGCTCTCCAATTCCTGTCTGTTGAACTTGTGGCTGGACTTTCTGCAGAGGCTTAGGACGGACTGTACTGGTTGCCCCACCTACAACACATATTTTCCAACACACTTTAAATTCATGTTACTATTATTAGAAAATTGGTCTAATCAATTTGATAATTTTAACATTTCTAACATAGAGAACACACATATCAAATAAGCAAAATGATAAACACTATACAGTTTTCAAAAAACATGTCTGACAGGATAATGATGGAATGAAGATGAGATGAAGAATTGAAGGTGGGTTAAAATGAAAATGGGATTAGTAAAAAATTTATCTCCGGCTGAGTGGTTCACCGCTTGTTCACAGGATGTAGTATGACTTTCATGTCTATGTATCAGTGCATAATAAAAACACACGAGGCATTAACATGCAAAATGTCACTACCTGGCATTTGTTACAGATGCAGACCAGGTAAAACAAACCACTGAATGCCAACCACCTTATATCATCCTCAAAAAATTGGAGACAATATGCCGCCACTTCTGGTGGTGCCATAATTACCCTTTTAAGGTTGGTCTATTTGCATATGTTAAAGGTATATTCCCTCCAGCCCATCCTGTTAGATAACTAACGATACTCCCTAAATATGAAATTGAATAACATTAACTCATTCAAAACTGGGGCAAAAGCACTAAAATACTGAAGAATTTTGAAAATTGCCATACACTGTATATGGTACCTCTGAGATAATATATAAAGTATATACATGGGCATATGTATGCATATCATTTTAAAGCATATGATATACTCTTTCAGAATCAATAGGTTTTTAAGCCCCATTTATAGGTTGTCATGGTTACAAGATTCCAAAAAAACATTTGGTTTGTGCTTGGACGTGATATCACGTCCTTCGTAATCAACGTATGTGCTTTATGATGTCATATCACGTCATTCGTAGCGAATGAGTCAAAATACAAATAACAATCATACCAAAAATTAGCATTTCCATTACACCCAAATTTCAGTTTATAAGAAGCTAGGAATATTCAATAGATTCTTGAAGTCAAAGCCAGATAGGTAGCAATTTGAACAAACTAAGAAAATAGTGTAGTGCTTATTTCAAAGGTCTATAGATTTGTTACTCTCACTATTAACTACAATTGTATTAACCGATAACATGATGAACAAAAACAGATTATTAAAAAAAGACAAAAATATATTATATACATTAAGGCAGGCAGGTTGAGATAAAACTGTGCTGCAAATAAAGTCTGATTGGTTTAAAGTTACAAGTCACGTTTAAATACATTTTTAATACCACTAGCACTATGAGTTTGTTCACTCAGATAAGAATAATCAAAACATCACGGATTGTAATTAGAGTCGTGTTCCATGTTATTAATAAATACTGTTTACTGGCCGGTTAAAGTCTTTTAATCCTCTTACATACTTGAAACCAATAAACTCTACTAGATTCATACGAATCTACTAGATTCATACGATGAATGAACTGACCACCACTGAACAATGATAGTAAACAAGATTCAATTGAAATATGATCATAATTAAAATCTACATGAACCCAGTGAAAACTGAGCTCATTAAATAACAGTTTATTGTCCCTAAAGTTCTTCCATATTGGAATGAATGAACTGTCCAGCACAGAGTAGATCTGATCATTTAGAATAAACAAGATTCAATTGAAGGATGGTCGTAATTAAAATCTACATGAAATGAAGGATGTTAGTAATTAAAATCTACATGAAATGGTGAACTATTGAGCTCATTAGAAAACATAATAGTTTCTTGTCCCTAAATAATGAACTGACCAGCACAGAGTAGACCTGATCATTTAGAATAAACAAGATTCAATTGAAGGATGGTCGTAATTAAAATCTACATGAAATGAAGGATGTTAGTAATTAAAATCTACATGAAATGGTGAACTATTGAGCTCATTAGAAAACATACATGTAATAGTTTCTTGTCACTAAAGAATGAACTGTCTCCCACAGAGTAGATCTGATATTTAGAATAAACAAGATTCAATTGAAGGATGGTCGTAATTAAAATCTACATGCAATGGTGAACTTTTGAGCTCAATAGATAACATAATAGTTTCTTGTCCCTAAAGAATGAACTGACCAGCACAGAGTAGATCTGATCATTTAGAATAAACAAGATTCAATTGAAGGATTGTTAGTAATTAAAATCTACATGAAATGGTGAACTACTACTTATTGCTTCTAATAAGTGGGGACATTGAAACTAATCCAGGTCCATCAAATGATTTAAAAATCTTATTCAACAACATTAACAGTGTGAAGGCAGACTCACTAAATCGCTTTGACTTTCTGAAAAATTATGCAGCAAAAGAAGAGTTTCATATAATTGCTTTGTGTGAAGCTGGTCATATCACAACTGATGATCTAAATTCAAAAACTTTTGACATTAAAAATTGTGGCGCACCTAAATTTTGCACAAACTCCGGAAGGGGTCTTATCCTCTGGTGTCATGACTCTATTGATGTTCAGATTCTCCACCAATTTAGATCAGATAATCTTGTCAATTGCTGGGCTGAAGTGAAATTAAACCACAAAACATTTCTCTATGGTTTTTTCTATAGATCACCATCATTAAATGCTAATGATACAAGGCAGTATTTTTTAGATTTTAAAGAAAATATATCAAATGTGGCACTGCATCCAAATGATGGCATCTTTATCAATGGAGACTTTAATGCAAGAAATGATTTTTGGTATGAAGATGATCATAATAATTTAGCCGGTTGTGAACTGCTAAGTACATTGGTTGAACTTGACCTCTTGCAGCTTGTAAACGAAGCTACAAGAATAAGACAGAATTCAAAGTCATGTATTGATCTAATAATAACAAATTCAGAACATTTAATATCACACAGAGTTGATCCCCCAATTGGTAACTCTGACCATTGTGCTATTGTGTCGAACATAAGAGTTAAGGTCCCAAGAGAGCCATCTATTAACAAGTCATTCTTGAAAATTCAGTCAATATCGCAGCTGAAAGGTTTGTTGATAACTTCATGTCTATAATTAAAGTTAACATTCCCTGCAAAACTTTCTCTGTACGGTATAATGATCAACCATGGTTCACTAGTACCATTAAAAAGGAAATTTACAAGCGTAATAAACTTCATCACAAATATAAAGCAACTGGCAACATTGAATTTTATAACAAATATGTAATTCAAAATAGAACTGTGAATCAATTAATCAGTGAAGCTAAAGCAAACCATGAAGTTAAAGTCAGAGAAAAAATTGATAATGTTTCTAAAAATTCTATTGAGTATTGGACGTTGATCAAAGACTTACTTGGAAAAAATCACGCAAGTTCCTTTCCTGTTCTTATTGACCCGGTGACAAATATTTCAGCATGCAACAGTTATGATAAAGCAGAGGCTTTTTTAAAATACTTTGTCAGTAAAAACTGTGTGGAAAATGATAATATCAATGTACCACCACTTGAGTTAAGAACAAACAGCATGTTGCAGGAGATTAGAACTACACCTCAGGAGGTTCTTGAACTATTCTCAAGCCTTGACATTAATAAGTCTCATGGTCCAGATGGAGTTACTAATAGAATGATCAAGTGTTGTACCACCAGTTTATGTATTCCAACCAGTCAATTGTTCAACAGAATTTTAGAAGAGAATGTATTTCCTGACATTTGGAAGGAAGGCACTGTAATTCCAATATTTAAGAAAGGGGACAAAGGTTCGATTAGCAATTACAGACCAGTCACCCTATTATGCACCTTCTCTAAAATACTAGAAAAAATTATTCACGGAAGACTTCTTTTTCATCTGTTAGACAATAACCTTTTGTACAAATTTCAGAGTGGCTTTCTGCCAAAACATAATACAGTAAATCAACTTGTAAATATCATTCATGACCTTCATATTAATATAGATCAAGGTAAAAATGTACGTTCCATATTTCTCGACCTGACGTCAGCTTTTGACCTTGTTCCACACCGGTTATTACTTAAAAAACTTAGAGCTTATGGTTGCGATAATAATTTTGTTTCACTGATGACATCTTATCTTTCTAACAGGAGAATACAAGTACGGGTCAACAATAGTTTATCAAGATGGTCAAAAGACCATGAACAGTTGAATCAGTTGAATGCTGAAGTTGAACCAGAAGATAATGGTAACCGTAATCACAACTTGATCATCAATGCCGGTGTACCACAGGGGTCTGTTTTGGGACCCCTACTTTTTCTAATTTATATTAACGATTTGCCGGATAATCTTAATTCTAAAACTTTCATCTTTGCCGACGACACTTCTCTGTATGATGCATATGATAAAAATGAAGTACACATGAACATTAATCAGCCATTACAACATGACCTTGACACTCTAAACAATTGGGCTTCAGTGTGGAAAATGAAATTCAAAGCCCAAAAGAGTGCTGATATAACATTTTCAGGGCTACGCACCAAAGTTAACAATCAGTCTCCCCTGTTTTTAGGGGATGAAGAAGTTCCCAAATGTATAATGCATAAACACCTCGGATTAGTCATGGACAGTAAACTAAATTTCAATGCACACATCGACCAATTAATTGTAAAGATTAACAACTTAATCAGACCATTGAAAGCTCTATGCAAAAAATTATCAGCCAAGCATCTTGAGACAATTTATAATGCTTACTTTATACCTCACTATGACTATTGTGATATAATTTACAACAAAGCTTCCTTAACCAAACTCCAAGCTCTAGATAAGTTACACTACAGAGCAGCCTGTTTGATATCTGGTGCAATACATGGATCAAGTACTGACAAGGTATTTGCATCCCTAAATTGGAAATCTCTTGCATCTAGAAGAGAAGAACATTTGAAAATATTTATTTTTAAAGCACGGTTTAATTGTTTTCCACCTTTCATATGTGATTTAGTTCGCTCCTATGAAATCACTCATACTAGAAACTTAAGATCCCAGCCAGACTATCGGATTCCAAACCAGATTAGTGTGTCTAGTGAGAAGTCCACATTATTTAAATCCATGACCCTATGGAATAAACTTCCAAATACATCCAGAGTTGGTCAACCT